GATGTGGAAACAACCCAAGTGCCCATCAAAACATGAGTGGATTAATAAAATGTGGTATACATATACCATGGAGTACTACTTAGCCACAAAAAACAATGGTGATCTAGCACCTCTTGTATTATCCTGGATGGAGGTGGAGACCATTCTACTAAGCAGAGTATCACAGGAATGGAAAAACAAGCACCACTTATAATCACTATCAAATTGGTACCAGTTGATCAACACTCATGCACATATGGAAGTAACATTCATCTGGTGTCGGGCAGGTGGGAGAGGGGAGGAGGGGATGGGTATATTCATATATTCACACTTGATGAGTGTGCTGTACACTGTCTGGGGGTTGGACATGCTTGTAACTCTGACTCAGGTGGTGCAAGGCAATGTATGTAACCTAAACGTTTGTACCCCTGTAATATTCTGAAATTAAAAAAAAAAATTTTTCTTCCTGTAGATGTGAGATCTTGCTATGTTGCCCAGGCTGGTTTTGAACTCCTGGCCTCAAGTGATCCTCTTGCCTTGGCCTCCCAAATTGCTAAGATTACAAGTGTGAGCCATTATGCCTGATCTAAAACTTTTTGTTACACAACTTTTTCAGAAGACCATCAGTAGAGAAAATAAGGGTTGGAAAAGTACACTTAGCTTCAGGAAATGTTGATGGTTGAAAGAACTATACCTCTTGGATATAATTATTTTTAGTGTTGTCTGTCCATTTCAGAGGTTTGTGCTCTCCTGTCACTGAGGATGTGTCCATTGAGCATCAGTGGAATCTATCAGTTCTACTTGTATTGGGGTTGTTGAAACACCGTGGCATGATTTGCCTCAAAAGAATTTGTAGGGTGGTTAGATGGGGAAAAGGAGTGGTTGAGGATGTAGAAGAAACAGTTGACTGTGAGTTGATAATTGTTGAGGCTGAGTGAAAGTTTTATACCTTTGTATATTTTTAAACTTTCTATAATAAAAGTAAAAACAACCTCACCACCACTGCTCCTCACCAACCATGCTTTGCGAGAAAATGGTTCAGTATAAAATCAGAGAAACAAATGAGGTCTCTTTTGTGAAACCTAGACCCTTGTAAGAATTTTTCTTTCCTGTAGCCTACCTGGGCAGAGTTAAGTAAAGTCTTTGTTATATTATGCCTAATTTCCAAATAGGGAAATCACTGTTATAGTCACTGGCCACTTGTTTATTACTTGAAATTGATTTTATGTTTGACTGAAGCAAATACTTACAAAAATGATGTCGTATTTCATTTATTCCATTTCATTGATAATCCATCTCCCGTGGGAGGCTACTTTCCTTAATAAGAAGTAACCAGTGCTAACTGCAATGATAATCTAAGTGACTTTCACTCACTCAGCATGGGATGTTTAGAGAAACTGTCTGACATGTTATTTCTTTTCTCCTGTAATCAGTATGCAGGAGTCAGATTTATGTCTAGTTTAATTTTGGTCTAATCTGGCTCATAAATGAGAAATAATGTTATACGTTTAAAAATACTGAGAAAAATACAGAAATGCTGCTTTCTATTTTCAGTCTATAAAATTGAGATATTTTAATCTTTTCTTTTTATAAAGAATCAATCCAGAAAAACTTATAGATGTTCAGAAAAAATTGGAATCCTTTTTAGCCCAAGATCAAGATTTAAAAGAAAGAGCTCAAAGGGTGAGTCATTTTTGAATTGGATACCTTCATTGGAATGAAATATATAATAAATTTCATTTTCTGCTGCTTCTAGGTTGCATGGTCATGCTTCACATATTCAAGCAGTATAATTTTCAGATTAAGTCTAGCTTATTCCTTAAAATTCAAAAAAAGTTTCTTTTAGTAACCTGGAAAAATCTCTTACTTGTTTTTAGTCTTTTCAGAAATATATGGAAAATTTTCTTAAAGATGATTGTTTTAGATATTCAGTGGCCTGATTTCTGGTATACTTGATAAAGTTAACAACTTTTAGTTTTCCAATAAAGTTGCTGTAACTCCTGATTGTACTTTGACTGTGAGAGTAACATGTTTTTATATTAGGTTTAATTTCTAGAAAGTATAGAATTCTTGCTAAATTATCTTTAGGAATGAGATTTTAATCTATAATTATGATTTAACATTCCCAAATTACTTTTCTGAACTTAAAAATCTTCTTGATGAGCAAATATGTAAAGAAGTCACTCTAATTTTATTTTTCTTAAGTGATAAATTATAATTTAATTGTACACCATGATTTGAAATGTGTATATGTTGTAAAATGGCAAAATGCAGCTAACTAACATAGGCATTATCTCATACTTATTTGTGGTGAGAGAAATCAGTTCTAGTTAAACTTATTTTTTAGTACTTACAGTGCCTGACAATAGATTCTTTGGAAAAGGAAGATGGAAAGCACAATGCAAAATAATTTTACAATCTATCCAGTCTGTCTGTTAATAAATATGAGTCCCTATTATGAAGCTATTCATTTTCACCATGCCCTTACTGCCTTATATTGCAGTTACGAGATCTTTGTGTATCCTGTAGCATATCAATGATCTAGAGAGTAGGGATTCAAAGGTTGGATTCTATTTCAGCAGATAGATGATGTGAGAGGAAGAAAATAAAGAAGAGATATGGAAAGGTCACCCTAAGTTTTATAGATGGAGTAGCCTCAGCAGGAAAACATTCAGTAGGTAGGCTTTTATGTTACGGTTTTGAAACTTGATATTCCCAGCAAAGAATTTTTATTTAAAAGGAAGATCTTATATTTTTTGCTAACTTATTTTATATTTTAGCAAATTATCATTTCTGTGCTTAAAATGACAGGAATGATGAAGGCTAAAACTTGAGTGCTTACCGTGAACCAGGCACTTAATCATGACATGAGTTTTTTACGTGACAGTTTTTCATGCACTGTTATTTAATATTCCCAACAACCTATGAGGTAGGTGGTATTGATTTAATTTTTTTTACAGATGACTAAATGCTAGCTTGAAAATTAAAAATTATCTAGGGTCATCTAGCTATTAAGTGGCAGATGTGAAATTCAAACCTAAGTCTGACTTTCTTGAATTACTGTGTTACATCAGGAGAAATTAATTCCAAAATATGAAAAAACCAAATGGTGAACCATGCAAAGTTGGACTTATAAGCCCACTTTGCCTGAGAGACAATGAAAAGGATCTTTGAACAAATTGGTGATTTTCTTTTTTTGGGAAAAAAAAAAAAATGTTTTTGAGAGGTGTGGTTTTGCTCTGTGGCCCAGGCAGGACTTGCAGTGGCGCATTCATAGTTCACTGCAGCCTCCAAGTCCTGGGCTCAGCAATCCTCCCACATCAGCCTCCCGAGTATCTGGGACTGCAGGCACATGCCACCATTGCTGGCTAATTTTTAGTTTTTGTAGAGATGGGATCTTGCTATATTGCCCAGGCTAGGCTGGTCTTGAACTATTAGCTTCAAGCAATCCTCCTGCCTTGGCCTCCCAAAGTGTTGGGATTACAGGCGTGAGCCACCATGCCTGGCCAGAGTTTCTTTTTTCTTAAAATTTTTGGGCATGCAGACATTTGTGTGCATGTTTTGTCCAGCAAACATACTTCAAACTTGGAGTTAAAATCTTCTAGGAGCTTTTGAAGCAGTACACATATTTAAAAATAATATATGAATTCTGATATGTCGTGACTTACTGCATGCCTAGGAGGTCATCCAGTTACCCATAAGGAAACATGAAACATTAGAAGGATATGATTTCACTGGTTTGTGCCTACAGCAAATGAGCCTTCCAGAACAAAGATTATAGAATAGTACATTGAAATAAATGATGTGATTTATTGGATGTCACGCATGGTTTAGCAGAATGGCTAACTGCCTTGCCAGCATCAGCAAGCTATCTAGTTTCATAGAAGTGATTTTTCTAGCTTTTGATTATAATCTGGATAGAACAAAAATGATAAGCAACTGGAGCAATTGCTTGTGGATGATTGTAGGGGAAAAAATTATCCTTGAACTGGTGCCATTCATTGTTTTTCATGCCTATGGAGACAAAATGATTTGGAGATTAGTTGGGTAGAAAGGATTAAGGTAAAGCTAGAGAAAATGTGAAATTCAGGAAATACAGAAACAGGAATTAAATATATTTTACAAAAATCAATTTAAAAATTAAAACAAAAATTCCTTGATTATGTATCTTGTTATCTGTTTATTTTGCAGATTGACAAAGGATCAGGACTATGTTTATGTTCTGGTTTGTGTAACATGAAGATAGTGTTTTTGTTTTTTTTTTTTTTTTTTAACACAATAGAAGAAAAATATTCCAAGTTAATAATGTGTTATTTGAAATTATTAATATAATAAAAAAGGAAAAGATTTAGCAATAAACTTTTTCCTGTTATACTTTTATTTAAACCTCAATTAATACTGTAAAATTTTATTTTGTGGAAAAACTAATCCTTTGACCATTACAGTAATAAATATTATTGATAACTAGCATTTATTAGTACTTACTATATTTCAGAAGATATGCTAGATATTCTACTTTCATTTTTCTTATTTCGTTCTCATAATACTCTAAGTAGAAAGTATCTTTCTTAGTATCTTTTTGGTAGATGAAGAAACTGACATTTAGAGAAACAAGAAATTTGCCAGCTAGTAAGATACGGAGCTCAGAATAGATCCCAAATCTGTATCATTTGAAAGCCTGTGTTTTCCCCATGGGACCTTATTTTAACTGAATGATAGTAACTTCTAGAGTAGCTTTTTGGGAAGGTGATATTCGGAGTTAGGTTGGCTTGATGAAACCAAATGCAAAGTCTTTTCTAATGTTACAGTTCTAAAAGGTAGGTTTTTGTGTGTGTAAGGAATGGAGACATGCTATTTTTTTTTTAATTTTTTTACTCTTTATCCCATCAGTTAGTTTTCTTTTGGTATAAACTCATTTTCTATTTCTATTGTACTTTTCAACCTCTTATTGCAGTGTTTTGTCTCCTACATACGTTCGGTATATCTGATGAAGGATAAAGAAGTATTTGATGTGAGCAAGCTACCTATACCTGAATATGCCCTGTGAGTATTCATACTATGGTTGTAATAGTGAATCCTCAGAGTGAGAGGGAATTTGTTCCAGATGTGATTCTCTGAGAGGCCTAGTTTAAACACTTTGCAGTACCTTAAAATAATCTGTTAACAATCTGCAGAGAAAAAGATTAAATCAACTCTGTGGAAAATTAGGTGTTCAGTTCTTGTCAAGAAGTGTTTTATTTGTAAGTGTAAATTCCTTAAAGTGACACTGGCCATTTCATGTAGTTTGATCTTGAAGGAGATGGAGAGCAGCTAATAAGCATTCTTTGGAAATTTTTAAATGTCTGTGGTCCTCTCTTATTCTCTGAAATGCTGTCCTGGATTACCAGAGAGGTTTTATGCTTTGGATGCGAGTCTGTTTGCTGGTTCTTATGTTAGTTTGATTTCCCATATTGCTTATTGCTTGAATATTCCTTCTGTCTTGGTGTTTCTTACAGGTACTAACAGTTACCATGGCAAGATGTCCCTGTTTAGTAACTGCTATTACTGTTAAATGGAATGATTGGTTTTGTTTTGGTTTAGTATTTGAGAGAACTTTTTTTTTTTTCACTTTTGACCCATAAAGGAGTGTCTATTCTTCAATGGGCTCCTACATGTGGGAAAGGCATTGAAAAAATCCTATAGAAGCACCCTTGAGATTAATCATACTTTGAATATCAGCGTGAAATTTCCCAGTCTGTGGTCAAATGTGTTTACAAGGCAAGGTCTGTATGTTCGGTCTGCTTTCCAGGAATCTGACTGCCCTTACCTTTAAATTGAGTCTAAGAAAAACTTGTTTCTCAGCGGGCTGCTGTTTTCTCTTCTTTGTGGATTGTATGTTTAATATAACAGGTAATTTTTCAGTTGTTACATTTTTGAACCCTATAAATTGCTAGATAGCAGTGTAGGGCCACTGACTTTCCATTTAAGTAACAAATGAAAAACCATGTGCCATGGATACATATTTGCTTATCTGTTTATGTATCAGTTCCTAGTTTCACAATTTCTGAATATGATCCATGGTTTAGGTTATTAGCTGACTTTCTGCTCTGTGTGAAATTCTGTCCTGGTTTTCTGATTTGATGTAGCTGGGATATTAGCAAATAGGAAAGGCATAGGTCTTTAACACTGTAGGGCCATATTTAGGGGACATTTTATTGCAGTAGATTCCAGTAAATTATATCTATTTATAGTTGAAGACTTGCTTTTTGTGATGCTTAGAGAAGGCAGAAAATTAAGTTAAGCCTAAATTTTAGTGCAGTTGAATTTGGTATTTTTAGTTTTTGTAGATGTGTAATTTCCTTGAGGTATGCGATTTTCTTTAGAAGCCTTTTGTACCTGAAGCAGTGCTATGTATGGAAGATATAATAAAGGCTTTAAAAATTTTACTAAAGAAACATGTTTTGAATACTTAATATATTCAGGTCATTGTACTGGTTGTTAAAATTATAGATGTATAATATGTATTGCTGCCTTCAAGGAACTCAATCTTAGTAGTTGAGAAAGACATATAAATGTGACACATCAAGAAAAATCCTCTAGATGAATTTGTGATCCTAATCCCTAGCCCCATTATAGTAATAATGACAGCAAATTCTCTGTAGTGCCTATATGCCAGATGCTACTTTCTGTGCATTATATCTGTCAACTAATTTATTCTTACAAAAACCTTATGAGGTAGGTACTCTCATCCCATTTTGCAAATGGAAAAACTCAAATATAGAGAGATTAAATGAGATCACACAGCTAGCCAGGATTTGAACCTCAGAAGTCCTATTTCTGAATCCATGCTTTTCAACACTATACCTCTCAGTTTCTGTGAATCATGTCATATAGGAAAAGAGCAGTGGATCCATACTATAATGATAGCTGTTTATTAAAGCAGTCTTTTTTTCTTTCTTTTTTTTTTTTTTTTTTTGAGACAGAGTCTC